CATCGTCATTGCAAATGGACACCGACTGTGTTCTCCACTAACATACGCGGCCGAAATCAAATGTCACCAAACGGCATCCAATTTTCACCTGTAAAAATTTGCTGTTGCCATCTCGTCTTCTTTTCTTTTTCCTCTTGCCTCGATACAATTTATCTGTAATTTTTCGTCTGAGCTTTACGTTTTAATAGTTTTTTGTTACAATTTTTTTGCCGTTTTTTTTTTTACTTCTACTGCCATAACATTGTTCTCTTAGAAGAAAACGTAGAAGAGAAGAGGATAGCCTAAATTTTAACTTATCAATCCAAAATAATTTTACAATTTTTGTATTGCAAATCTCCAAATGTTTTTTCAAGATGAAAAAAAGAGGAAGAGAAATAGAAGCAATGTAACAAAAAAGAAAAAAAGCCTAAGTTTGCTTTAAAATAAGATTTGTGAAGGTATCTATTAAGTTTCAGATGAGGTATAAAGTTTTCTCAAAAGAAGAAAATAAAATGGCATTATTGAAATCTTAATAAATTTTTTATTAAAGAAATTATTGTCTATAATAGAAAAAAATATCAGTGTTTGGACAAACGTTTTTGGAAAAGTTATATTAGGATTTAATAGGCTGTCGTGTTTTTATGGTGATGACAACCTTAAACCGCCGAAGCTTTTTTGAGTTTTTCAAACAAATTTCTAGGTTATTTCGGTTCATGTTTCTTCCAATAAACTACTGTTTCGTTGCCAAACCATCTGTTAGGTTTTGCCAATTTACCCTTTTTTTTTTTTTTTTTTATATGCTTGACAGTTTAAATCGTCTAAAAATTTTGTCTTTTATAAGCAAAAACTTACGTTAATTGGAGGAGAATATTTAATCTGTACGTTGCATGTGAAATATAATTATTGGAAATTTGACCAACGTTTGAACAAATACTATATGTATCTTCGATAACATTTTGAAAATTATTATAATAAAAAAGTCTTGGAATCGTTCTTTTACTGTTCTACAATTCAAACGCCGTAAAATATTATTGTTAGATAAGTCGTCGTCAAAATTATTTAGTTAGATTTATTATGCTGCTTATGTTTGCCTAATATTTTATATATTTTTATTTGTACAGTGATACATCGGTGAAGAATTTATATACGGTTCCAAGCAGCACCTACGGTTGCTTTTTAGCTGTTATGCCAAACAATCTGTTTTGCAAATTTTTTATCAACTAGTAACACTTTTTGGGAAATGTGTTGCTGGTAAACTGTTTCTTAGTTTGTATTTTGTTTTTCCGGGTTAAGAAGGTTTGCCGTGGTGAGGAAAAAGTGAAGAAAGAAAATGTGTTTTTCAATACCGACAAATGTTAGTGTCTAGAAATGAAATGATTTCATTCATTGTGCCGTCTCTACCACCGAAGAAATATAGAAGTGTTTTTGACAACTACATGGCAATTTGAGCTCAAAAATTGAAGACATTCAAAGACCACTTTTCTTCTAATTAATAAACTTATTTACTTGTCGCAACTACTCCTCCAACGGAGAGAAGAAAAAATAATTTTTAAAATACTTTCTATTACTTGTCAACAAGCAAATAACAATAGATTTTCAAGCAATAATTATTCCTCTGTCTGTTACAGAAGTTGGTTCTGTTCAATTTTTGCAAAAACTGTTTTCTTTTTTCTTTTTTTTTGAGCTTAGAAGCATATAGCTATTGGAGCTTAGTAAAAACATTAGATTAATGGTTAGATAATAGTCATTTTGTTAAGATTAATAATTTTTTAAAACTTTTTACGTTTTTCTCTTTATTATCTGTTGTTACTGTCATTACTGCTATAATTACCATTGTTGCTCTGATTATTCTTGTTGAAAGTGATGATATAAAGATCAAAACAATTAGCAAGAAAAAAAAAATAAATGCTGCTTAAAACCAAAAACAAATAACTGTTGATAAGTAGTTCAGGATTGACCTAAAAAAGTATACGTCAAGATTTTACATTTATAAGTATTTATTTGGCTTTTTATTAATATACAGCTAGCTATGTGTAACTTTTAAAGGAAGATGGATTTGTAGAAGGCATAGCTTTGGTGTTTACCACCAAAATCACAATAATAACAGACAGTTCGATTGATTGATGTCAATAAAGGTTTATAATAAATATTGGTCATATATAGATGTTAGTTTATTTTGGCAAATTTTTGCTTATTAAAAACCTCTCCTGCTTATTTTTCTCTGGTTTGAGAAGAAAAGAAGAAATTTTTATGACTATTTATTTATAAACCGGTAGAATAATGTATATTTTGCAGGATGGCTCTTCAAAAAAAAAAAAAGAAAAAATGTCGTCATTTACAGTTAGTAATGCTGATATTTCAACAGTTGTTGTTAATTAATTTCTTCTTTTTCTTTCCCGGTTTGTTAAATTTAATAAATTACAGATGTGGTCAAATTTTATGCATATTTTATTTGCCGTACTGTTACACATTAGTGGAGTTATTTGTGCTTTATGGATTTGGTATTTGTTTCCAAAAAATGTAAGTTTTTTTTTGTTTTTTTAATTTATAAAATAAATAATTAGTGCAGCGTTATTATTGCTTAACGTACTTATCAGAGCAGATGTTATAATATTAAAAAAAAAGACAAGTTTTTATATTTGTAAAAATTTAATAATGTATTTTTCAAGGTTTTTTTCATCGTTCTTTTTGCAACTTACTTTTTTTTTTTAATTCAAGAAATAGTGTTTGTTGATTAAAATAATAATAGTTAAGTGCATTTTTAAACAATATTTATTTTATGTTTTTTTAAATCGCATTTAGAGTTTTTTTGAAGCTCACTTTTTTTTCTCTCTAATTTGTCTTTCTTTTCCCCTTTTCTGGTAGATTTCTAAGATGCATTTATTTCTTAGCCGCTTTTGAAAGCTAAACGATGGCAGATGATAGATAGTACAGAAAAGTCGAAAATTTCTGAAACGAAGACGATTCTATCAAAGCATCATAAAATTGAACTTCTACCGTATCAAACGGCTTCAAGAATCAGTGTACTTGGTTGATCGAAAAATCGATTGTATTGGAAATTTTTACAGATAATTATCTATATATAGGAGATAAACTGTCATATATCAACACACTATTATATATATTTATCTATTACTTTCCTGTCAGCTTTTACATTTGCTTTAGTTTATTTACTTAAGTTATTCATGGTTACTGCAAATCACTAAATGTTTGCTTTTTTTCTTCCCCAGTTTTGTACACTTTTGCACCTCACGTCTCTCAAATTGCATATGAAAAGCAATAATAGAGCACAGTATTTTATATGCTATTTCAAACGTTTTAGAGATAGATAGGTCTATTTTTGGTATAAAAAGATAGGGCAATTTATGTTGTTTGAAATAAGAGTATTTTTGAGTCTGAGAACTAAAGTCACTTTAAAAAGAAAGAAAAATATGTAGTTAACAGTGCCGGGTACTCTATGCTCAAAAATATTTGAAGAAAACAGTTTTCGTCTATATTATTCTGTTATATCACATACACTCATTTTTTTTTTTACAGTAAACATCAAAAAAAATCTGAAGAAAATGCTGAAAATGAGCGTTAGGAAAAGTTTTCATCAATTTTGAGTTCTCAAAAAACACGAGTTCAAATGATTCTTCGATTAGGTAATGGCATGAGAATTTCTTTGCATAATTTTGAATTTAGAAAGTTTTTTATTTTACGTTTTGGGATTTTTTTTTGCATAAAGTAAACTTTTTTTTTGGAATATTTTTGTAATTTTTCAGAGTGTTTTTTTGAGATAACTGCTGTATAAAGGTTTTTTACCATTAAAATGCGAATTTAGTTGTGCAAAGGTTAAAAAAAAACAGGAAGTTGTTGTTTTATAAAACATTTGCAAAAAAATATGAAAAAATTATTTGGTTTATTCTTTTTCGTCTTCAGAATTAACCGTCTTATTCACTGAAATGATGTAAACTATTTAAATATTTGAGTTAAATGTTTGTTTTCTTGATTTTATCTTTATTTTACCGAAAAAAACAAAAAAAAAAAGCGGAATTTAATTTGATGTACGTTAAAATTGTTATGGCAAAAATTTCAACCGGTATAAACTGAACAGAATGGTGGTATTCCTTTGTTAGGAATGGTGTGACAATTTCGTTGTACAAATTTTAGATTTGAAAAAGCTCTTCCAGTGTTACATTTTTATAGTTCTTTTTGTATGAAAAAAAAAAATACATCCTGTTTTCTTTCTTTTGTTACTTTTAACCAGTTTATAGATATTTTTGGTTGCTGTAACTAAACATATTCGTACACATTTTGTCAATTTTATTTGCTGCTGATAAATATACTGGTATTAAGAATATTGATAAAATTGATCAGATTAGTGAAAAAATAACCAACAGTTTTTTTTTTTCTGAATACGACAAAAAAAAAAGCATAAAATTACAATTTATTTGGGTATTTGAAAGAAAAATTCTTTTCTCTTTACCTCTATAGACAGATGAAATTTGTGTTTCCAAAATTTCTTACTTTTTTTTTTGACGTAATCGTAAATATGTATAAAAATTGAAAATGGATAAAAATTTTTGGTAATCGCACTGGTAATAACACTATTACACCAATTAATGCAGTTATTTTTTGTTTAGAGCAAAGGTCAGCAATTCTCGATAATGCTTCGAAATCGAAAAACAGTTAATGAGGTAAAATATTTGTTATGATATCTATAACATTTTTGAATAATTAAAAATAAAAAGCAAGAGAAAAGTTCTTTTATAACAGTTGTGAAATGATAAATAAATAAAAGGAAAGAGTTTCAATGGTTTTAAGTTGTTGCTATTTTGAACTCTCAACACTTAATACTAACAAATTTAGGTTGGCTACGGGTTATCAGATTCAGTGCACGAAGATTTTCATTGAACAAGCTATTACTTTAGAAGTTTTGTACGTATGTAAAATATCTACTTTAAGAATACTTCAAAACAAAACAGCATATATATATATATATATATATATATATATATA